CCCTCTCTCTCCCCCTCTCTCTTCCTCCTCCTCTCCCCTTCCCCCCCCCCCCCTCCCCCCCCCCCCTCCCCCCCCCCCCCCCGACACACACACACCACTGACCTCTCTCAGACCTCACCATGGAAAGTTTTGTGTTCTTTTTACCTTCAGAAAAGGCTTCAGCCACTTACCTAGAGTCTTATGACTTGTAAATGCCCAGGTGTGTGCCTATACCACATCCCAAGCCTGCCAGCCCCTGTCCCAGCTGTTTCCCTGGCCTTACCAGCACAGAACATGTTGTCAGTAATGCGTATCCGGGTAGAGGCCTTGCACACTGGCCGCTCTACGATGGGCAGGTTCACCACCTGCAGGACACTGGGATGGATCTCGTTGATGTTGGTTGTCCATGTCTCCCGAAGGTTGCCCCAGCCTGTCACCCGTCCTTTATAACCAGCCTGGAGCAAGCTTTAGAGAAAGAGAAGGACCTGATGAAAATTGTCCCTGACAGTCTTCTGGCACCAACTCTACTTCACAGAACCCAACATCTTAAAAAGTAGCACAGAAAATGACTTCTGCATTCATACCATGGAACTGAGCCCTGCAAATGTGTATCAGGCCCCAAGGTTCAGAGCCCAGGCCAAATCACAACTGAGGCCCCAGTGCTGACCTGGCTACTGTCTGCTTGTCTGGCAAGCATACGGGGTGGATATAGTCACTGAAGGGCACGGGCTTCTTTAACTTGAGCAGAGCGATGTCACGGTCTAGGTTCTCCCGCCAGTTATATCTGGGGTGGACGTAGATCTTTTCCAGCATGGAGATCTTTTCAACATTCCGCTCATATCTGTGCAGACCCCAACAGAGAAGGACCGCTGATGAGATGTTCAGCTAACTGAGCAAGGTCACATACAGTCTTATTAGTCACATAGGCCCACAGAAAAGAGATGTACACACACCACATGTACTGTTCCAATAGTCACAATTTTAAAAGACTCCCACCTGGACCATGTTCTGGTGTCTGGAGTGGGCCAGGGTATGCCCATATGAGCTTTCCCAGCGGGGATGCTGAGAGGTCATACATGAGGTTCCCATGTGCCCCAGAGCCCCTGATGACCACTCAGAACCCAGCCAATCATCATCAGCCATCAGCTTCATACCTGGTTCGGGAATGCTTGCCAATGCGCACCAGGAGGTCATTTGCAGTGAAGTTCTTGTCCCAGGGTGGGTACAGAATGCAGTGGGCAGCAGTGAGGACCCATCGGTCACTGATAAGGCTGGCCCCACATAGCAGCTCTTGGGGACTCTTCCGAAAAAGCATCACCTGCCTAACAGGAAGCAGAGGGCATTAGGGGCTGAAGCCTAGTCCCTAACTGCCTTAGAAATGGGAAAAGAGCTTAGCTAAAGAGAACTGGGCTAGGATCGTGTCGCAAGTCTGTAATTCCTTGCACTTGGGAAGTGAAAGCAAGGAGCATCAGAAGTTCAAGGTCAGCCTCTGCTATATAAGATCCCTCTTCCCCAAAAAAATAAAAATGAGAGAGAGAGAGAGAGAGAGAGACAGATAGATAGATACACATAGTGGGACAGTTGCCTCTAGGGCTCAAATCTCAGATTGACTTGGCTGCCCTAGGGACCAGAGCTCTTCCAGTGTAGACTTCATATTTTGCACAGCTCTGGAGTCAGAACTGGATATAGTCCTGACTATGCAGTATGTCTGAGAATAAGTCACTTAAGCTTGCTGGGCCTCATCTCTGCCATCTACTTGGGAGACATGATAACGCTGGCTGAGGTAGCTTTGGGGAAAATTAGAGGGTGGGTTTTAGTGTCATCTGTGGAGTCAGGCCCTGCAGCGGCCGTGGGTCGCACAGGCCTTCTGTGAGCCTATAGATCAGTCCAGGACGCACCAGGGGGCGATACCCTTCTCAGCGTCCCAGCCCTCCACGATGCGCCCCTGTATGTAAGAGTCAAGAAGCTCCTTTTCCGTTTCGTCTTTCAGCGACTTCTTCTCGAACAAAGGCCGCAGGCCACAGTCTGCAGAGCAAGATAGCCGGTGAGGGGCCCATCCTGGCCTCCAGCCTCGTGTCCCACTGAGATGCGGGTGTCTCACCTGCCTCCCCAAGGCCGAATGTCTTCTCATCGAAGAAGGTGTTGTACTCCGTGTCGGTGGTGCGTCCTGCGATGGATTCCTCCGCATCATGGTTCTCCGGTTCTCCCACCGCCTCCTCTGTAGAGACACGGCAGTGGCTGGGAATTCAGACCTTCCCAAGACCCCAGGGGCATTGGAGGGTGTTTGACTCCGAGGTTAAGAGCCTAGGCACACCTCAGTGACCAGCCAAAAATTTCTCAGGGCCTCCGTTTACTCATCTATGAAACAAGAATAGGACCTACCCCTAGCCAGGTTTCTGTAAGGCTGTAATGAACCCACTTGTCTTCGGTCCTTGCCCCTGCCCTGCTCTATGAGCTCTGCTCACCGCAGTAGTTGAGGCTGCAGTATTCAAAGTCGCCAGGCTGCCCCGCAACATAGCACCATGCGCCCTCCTCATCCCAATCTGGGTTGCGGCAGAAGTTTTCCACGAGTTTCACCTCGGGGTCAAAGTCCTGGTACTTGCTCAGAGTTTTGGCTGGTAAGCTGTTCCAGGCCAGGCAGGGGGACCCAAGTGCTGTCACAGCCAAGTTCCCCTGGTATAGCCGGCCACGCTCAGTGTGACACTGTCCCAGTGGAGGCGACAGATTCTCCTTGGAACCTCCAGAGCGAGGAGTCATCTCCACAGTGGTGCGGCCCTCCTGGCCTGGTGAAGAACGGTACAGAAGGCAAAGTTGGGGGGAACTACACGCCCGAGAGAGATTTGAATTCCTGTCCTGGTGGATTACACCTTTGTGACTTCAGGCAGCTTAAACACCACCAGTCTTGCAATCTCCTTTCAAACAGGCTGCATATGCTGCTCTTACCCGAGAGTTGACCGAAGAATGTATTATATACAGCAGAAGTTGTCTAGTGCATAGTAAGTCACACATGGTAAGCAGCCAGGGCATCCTGGGTGCCTAGACTATCTTCAACCTATTGGTAGTGACTGCCTGGAGTAAATTTGTGTAAAACTTTGTTGCTTTTTGGGTCTTTTTTTTTTTTTAAGTTGGTTGGTTTTTTTTGTTTGTTTGTTTTCTGATCTTTTTTTTTTTGTGGGGCTTTTTGTTTGGTTCTTGAGACAGGGTTTCTGTGTAGCATTGGCTGTGCCAGAACTCACTTTGTAGACCCAGCTGTCCTGGAACTCACAGAGATCCACCTGCCTCAGCCTCCCAGGTGCTGAGATTAAAGGTGTGCACCACCACCACCTGGGTTAGATTTCAAGTCTTAATTGGACACAGCAGAAAGGCTGTCCAGTCTGCTAGAAGGTCTGTGTGGATCATAACATAAGCTTGAGGGTCAGCTTCAGCAAGTCTGCAATATATGTCCCACAAACATGGACAGAGGCTGCAGTCCAGACGGCTACGCTTTGTTTGTTTTGTTTTAAAACTCACTGGTGATTTGCTTTAAGGGCTGTCTCAGGTGGAACATAGCTGACAAGGAACCCAGCACTAAACCTGCAGCTAGAAAAGGGGCATTTTCCACCATTAACTTATAGCCCCTAGCCCTCTTTTTCTTTTTGTTTTGATGCAGAGTCTCACTAAGCTGTCTAGGCTGGCCTTGAATTCACTGTTACCTAAGCAGGCTTTGAACTTTAAAAAAAAAAAGATATTTTTTTCATTTTTATTCATGTCTCTTGTGCTATAGGTATGTGTATTTGTGGGGTGTGTGTGTGTGTGTGTGTGTGTGTGTTTGCACATGTGTAGGTACTTGCCAAAAGACAGTGTTGGATCCTCTGGAGTTGAAGTTACAAGTAGTTGTGAGCCACCCAATACGGGTGCTGAAACCTGAGTCATGGCCCTCTGCGAGGGAAGCAAATACTCTTAACTGTGAGCCATGTCTCCAACCCAGGGCTTGAACTTTTGATCTTTCTGCCTCAGCATCTCCAGCAATTGGGATCATGGGTCTGCACTACTGAGCGGGTCTTTTTGTGGAGGGCATGTGGGGTGGTGGGAGTTGAACCTTGGACCCTGTGCATTATAGCCAAACTCTCTTCCACTAAACCACATCCCCAGCCCATGGTATGAATTCATCGCTTATATTCATATCCTTTACTCTGTGGTTTTGTAGCAGACAATATTTCACTTTCTTGACTTTGGTCTTGGTCATATGGCTCATTCTGCCAATGGAACACAGGCAAGACTGACTGTCAGCTCTGAACACAGGCCTTCAAAGAACACTTCTGTTCTACACTTCTGCTGTCATCAAGGAATGGAGGGACTCCCTCAAAGGAGTCTCAGCCCCAGCATGAGTACAAGCGGAGCAAGCAATCAGGTTCAGCTGGATCCACCATTCATAGCACAACCACCCATGGAGGCCCAGCAATCATGGACAGAACTCTGTCTCCCTACCCCAGACACACACGCTGGTGAGTGCAGCTGAGAGCATCCTCTAGCCATGCCTTCAAGGTGTAAGAAACAAACACTTGCTGTGGCATGCCCTTCAGGTATGGATGTTTGTTCTGCAGCATTACTATGGCTACAACTAAGTAACCATGGGAAATAATCACAACAATCAACCAGAACAGAGCCTTATATGCTTTCTCTGTGGTGTTTGGAAAAGGCCATGTGACTGAAGTTATCTAGGAGAATTTCCTGGAGGAGAGTACCTTGGCAGGACACAAAAAAAAAGTCATTTAAGAAGAGTCACAGCCTGAAGCATGAGGGACCCAAGACTGGGAGGGAGAAAAGGAGGTGACAGGCAGCCTGCTCAGGTCTCCCAAATGCCCTGGCCAATGGGCCCTCTCAGTTTGTAACTCCTTCCCCTTGCTCAGAAGGTAGCCAGCATTGTGATGCCCATTCAAGAATGCCAGGCCTTATGAAGACCCCTGGGCCTTTGCCATGGACTGCCTCTTGGCCCCAGCTCACCACAGACAGGGACACTGCATTCCTCTCTGCGCACAGTAGGGTCTGTGGTGTAGCACCAGGGTCCCGTGGTGCTGCTGTCTGGATTGCGGCAGAAGTTCTCCTGCAGGTCGGCCCCAGGATGGGTGGTGGAGTTAATGCTGGAAGAGAAGGATGCTGGGGAACTTGTGCCTCCTGAGAGTGTCCTTACTGCCCCTCCTGGCCTGCCCAGCACTCACTCAGGCTTGTGTGGGTAGCGGCTCCGCCACAGCTGGCACTCAATACCGGTATGGGTGACATTCACAGTCCCCTGGTAGTTCAGACCCAGATCCACAGCACAGCGACCTACAGAGACACACACCTGAGTCTATGTTGCACTTTGGAGACCTCCCCCAATCTTCTGTTAACATTTTGTCTGCCCACCCACCCCAGGCTCTCTCTAGTCCACCATCCATAACTTGGACATCTTTCACTCCTTTGCAGCTGTTCTGTCCACTTCACAACAGCCACGTGACAACCCAGTGACAGGCACAATTGTAATCCAACCCCATCTCCCGCCCTTGTTAACTTAGGGCCTTTGCACAGTTTCCACACTTGGAATTCCCTCCAGTTTGTTCACTAGCTCATCCCACAAGGTAAACAGCATTTCTAGGAAGCCATCTCTGATTCTGCCGACAAGCCAGCTGCTCTTTCTGTTCTCCCTGGCCTTTCCAGGAATCCCTGTGGTGTTTCTGTTGCCCTAAGATTATGAGTTCTTTACAACCCAGAGCTTTTCCATGCCCTTAATACCCCCCAGCACCTGTTTGGTGGCACCTCCTGTAACTGTAGCTTTCAGCAAACAGAAGTACAAGAAGGAGGGTTCAAGGCCAGTTCATCCTCACTTAGACCCTGTCTACAAAAAGAAATCCCCAGCGCCTGACACCAACACAGTACCTGGCACACACTGAAGGTTTAGTATAATATCTTGAGTAAATAAAGTATGAAGGCTGCAGAGATGGCTCAGCAGTTAAGAGCACTGGCTGCTTTTCCAGAGGACCAGAGTTTGATTCCCAGCACCCACATGGCAGCTCACAAGGTCTCTAAGTTCAGTCCATGGGATCTAATGCTCTTTTCTGGTCTCTAGTTCTGGACACAGATGTACATGCAGGCAAACACTCATTCATAGTACAATAAAAAGACAAGTGTAGGCGTAGTGGTGCACACCTTTCAGGAGGCAGAGGCAGGTAGAGCTCTGTGAGTTCCAGGCCAGCCTGGTCTACACAGCAAGTTACAAGACAACCAAGGCTGAATAGAAAAAAAAAAAAAAACAGTCTTTAAAAAGAAAAGTCTTTAAAAAAAGTCACCATCTTAAAAAAAAGTAAATATTGAAAGAAGTGAGCTGAGCACAGTGGTGCAGGTGTGTAGGTCCAGCATTCAGTTGCTGGTGGAGGGTGGGGGAGTCAGGAGTTCAAAGCCAGCCTAGGCTACAAGAGACCTTGACTTAAGGAAGGGAGGAAGGGAGGAAGGAAGGAAGGGAGGGAGGGAGGGAGAGGGAGGGAGGGAGAGAGGGAGGGAGAGAGGGAGGGAGAGAAGGAGGGAGGGAAGGAGAGGAAGGGAGGAAGGAAGGAAAGAAGGAAGGAAACTATAGCTCTTAAAGAGGTCCCTGTTCACAGTGGAGCCCATCACTAGAATAAAGACATATTCAGGATACTTTGGAGAGAGGCTGTTCCCTGAAGACTCAGCGAAGTCCCTGGGGGATACGGTTTTCAGTAGAGACTGTTGACTGCTCCCAGGAAAGTAACAAAGTAGGCAAGGACTGAGACATCTTGACATGTTTACTGGTCCTGACCCACTTCTTGGGGGTCTAGAAGAAGAAGAAGTCAAGGCCTGACAAAGTTTTCCTAGCTAAGAGCCTGTGCGTACTGGGGAGTTGACAGAAGTTTTGGGGGATGAACGCCCCCATGGAGGCACATGCCTGGAATCCCAGCCCTGAGGAGGTGGGAGCGGAAGGGTCAGGAGTTCAGGGCCATCCTCAGCACCTAGCAAGTTCAAAGCCACCCTGGGCTGTAGGAGTCCCTGTCTCAAAAACAAAACAAAAACGTTTTGGAGAATGAATTAACAAGACAGAGCTCTGACAAACAGTGAACAGAAGCGCAGTCGGGCCCTGAGATTAATTATCCATTCATTCTTCCATTCCTCCAACAGTCTGGCTAAGTGCCAGTCACAAGGCCACATGCAAAGACATCCGTGACCAAGGACAAAGGAAATGTCAGGCACTGGAGATACCACTTGAGCCATGGCTGCTGACCAGCCAGCAATTCTTTCCTCTCAGGCTTCCACGCCACCCACGCACGCAGAGTCTGCATGCCACCCACCCACACACGCACGCACACAGAGTCTGCTCCCACCTTCCAGACAGTCCATGAAAGTCTCTCGAGGATTCCTCACTGATTCACACACTGAAAACAAAAAGCAGAAATACGTTTGGTATCGCTGTGGGGACAAGGTGGGAACAGGTGATGGAATGAGAGGCGGGGTAACAGATGGGATGGGGGGGGGCAGAGCAGGGGCCGGGCCTGCTTTATGCAACAGCAAGTTCTGAAGGAGAGGACATTCTCTAGCTGGACACCCCCATCCCCACCCCCCAGCCTCCCTTCTTTGGGCAAACCTTACTGGCCACTCACCTGTGTACTTGGCCCAGAACACATCCTGCAAAGCAAGGGCTGGGGGTGAGACTGTGGCAGGATGAAGTTCTACTGGGTTAGTAGGCATTATGTCCTTCCCTTACCACCTGAGCCCGGCTTCAGTCTCCTACTTTGGCTTCCAAAAGAAGAGAATATGTGAAGAGAGAGAGAGCCCTCTGGCACCCCTGACTTAACGGGATCTCCTCCATGATGGAGGAGACAAAAATGTGTCCTCCACCACAGCAGGGAATGGGCTGCAACAGAACCCCAGGGCCAGTGGGTACACAACAAGGGAACACAAAAATGGCGGAAAGGCCTAAGCAAAACACCAGACAACCCAGAGCAGCAGTATAGCTGGCTGCTGAAGCTGACAAGCTCCCTTCATGTTGCGAGCCTCACTGTGACAGCCCGGGACTACAGTCCCCAAGACAGATTTTGGGTGCCCATCTTGCAGCCCAAGAAGACAGGAGTCTTAATAGAAGTGAAAGTCTGAAAGGGGAAAGAGCCCGGATGCTTCCTGTTCCGGTCGCCTGTGGTCCAGCACTCCTCTCCCGAGGGAGTCCAGGTCTGTTACTTGCCTACCTGCCCTGCCTCTTAGCAGGCAGTGTTGCGGGGCTCACCGTGTCTTGGGGAGACTCCAAGGCCTCAAAGGCCTCCTCGTAGCTGCACTGCTCTTCCACACACTCACGCTCCAGGTTGCCCTTTCGGAGCTCCTCCAGGAAGCCGCTGTTGGCTCTGCGGACTCGCTGGAGCAGCGACAGTGCTTGCTGAGGGGCCAGGAACACTGCAGCAGGGAGCAGGGGCATATTTAATGGCCTCTGGAAGCCAGGCTACCTTAACCATTAGGGGTAGGAAGATGCCTACTCTGCTAGCTTCCAAGAGGGGACATAGGGAATAAGGAAAGCACCTAGACAGGCCCTGGACATAGTCTGTGAGTCGTCTGCCTTTTATTGGTTGCCGTAGCCCACTCCCCATTTGGCAAGACAGAAGCAGTGCCTTCCTCTCTACACCATGCACATGACTCCTTCTCTAAGCTGGACACTCTGGTCTGAGGTCCACCTGGGGACTGTCCCTATGTTCTCTGTTCTTAGGTAGGAAACCCCATCCCTCAAGCCTTTCCCACATCCTCTATCTTGCCCAAAGCCTCCAAGTGCCCCTTACCATGCTGGCTGTGTACCAGGCTAGCCAGGGCAACCAGAGCCAGGCAGCCAGGTAGGCCCAGGCTGCGGACGTGCGACATAGTGTGTCAGCTCCTGGGATCTGAGGGATTGTCCCGACTCTCTCTGGGTTAATATTGAACCAATGTGAAGAAATCAGTGGCAAGGGAGAGAGGTCAACAGATCAGGGCCTTGGGGACAAATGGGTAGATAGTCCTAGGGTCCACCCCCAACATTCAAGAGGACAGGCTCTCCTGGAACCAGAAGTGGGTGTTCTTGGGGAGAAAAAGCATATAGAAAAGACCATCATCCATTTATTATGTGGGTAAATGTGGATCAATGAGTCCTTCCGGAGGCTCCTTCTCATCCCAACCAACAGGGATGGTGCAAAACTCTCCACATCCATGCACTGCAGTTTTCTCATCTGTGCTGTGGGTGTACCGCTTTGTGTTGAGGACTAAAAGAGCTTAGCAATGTAGCACACACAAAACACAGTGCCTACTGATAAGCAGATGTGTACACAGACATGAGGAAGAGATAGGTGTGGCCAAGCAAAAGCTCTCTCACTGCATTATGAGACGGGGTAGTTCTCAGCCAGGAGGTAGCACCTCTTTCTTCTCCTCTAGGGTGCTGTGGATGAATAGAGGCTGCCTGGGAGGAGCCAAGTCCTGGGCCCTGTGGCCTCTAGCTGTCTCCTTCAATCTCCTGCCCTAGCACAGACGCTGGCCCAAGTCTCTGTGTCTCCCTGACACAGCCCCTTCCCTCCCAACCTGTCTGCATCGTGCCAGCTTCTTAAGGCTCCTAGTTCTACATAACAGCTCTAGGCTAGCTTCTCACCCTCCCCCATTTCCTGTTTACAAGGTAAATATTAGTCCTGGGTCTAAATAGAACAGAGGGACAAAGAGCAGGTACACCCACAGCCGGGAAGCAGGGACTCCTGCTTTGCCTTAACTTCATCAGGGTTGGCTGTTTGGGGCCATGTACAGTCTGGGGCAAGGGTTGGTAGAGAGCAGGAGACTGGGAGACACCTATGGCCAGCACAATTCCTGAGCAGCCCACTTCCTATGTATTTTCATACATATACACACACACACCATATATCACAGTTTTCTTTTTTTTAAATTTATTTTTAAAAATGATGTGTATATGTCTGTGTGTGGGTAATGCATGTGAGTGCTGGTACCCAAGGAAGCCAGAGGCCAGATCCCCTGGAGCAGTTCAGACAGTTATGGCTGCCCAGTATGGGGTGCTAGAAGTCAAACTTGGGTCCTCTACAAGAGCAGTAAATGCTGTTAACCACTGAGCCATCTTTTCAGCTACATTTTTGTTTGTTTGTTTGTTTTTTGAGACAGGGTTTCTCTGTGTAGCCCTGGTTGTCCTGGAACTCATTCTAGATCAGGCTGGCCTCGTTTTGTGTGTGTGTGTGTGTGTGTGTGTGTGTTTTATGTATATGAAAACACTGTAGCTGTCTTCAGAACACCAGAAGAGGGCATCGGATCCCTTTATAAATGGTTGTGAGCCATGTTGTTGCTGGGAATTGAACTCAGAACCTCTGGAAAAGCAGTCAGTGCTCTTAACCACCGAGCCATCTTTCCAGCCCGGAATTTTTTTTTTTGAGACAGGGTTTCTCTGTGTAGTCCTGGCTGTCCTGGAACTCACTCTATAGACCAGGCTGGCCTCGAACTCAGAAATCCGCCTGCTTTTGCCTCCCAAGTGCTGGGATTAAAGGCGTGTGCCACCACTGCCCAGCCTGGAATATTCTTGAATACACATATTTGTGTAGCTCAGCACTTACTCCTGTTGGGTAAATCCCCAGGGAATGGGACTTTCTGGCTATAAAGCAGGCATAGGATTTACTTAAGACTCTAACATGGAGATCTGTTCCAAGTGCTATACTAGTTTACACTCTAAGCAACGAGGTTTGAGAGTTCCAGCTGTTTATATTCTTAGCAGCTTTAATTTTATAGGAAGCATTTTAATGGACAAGTGTTATTGTCTTAACTTATATTCCTTGCTAACTGATGACACTGTGCCTGTTTTTCCTTTCTCTCTCCACCCCCTCTTTGGTGGGTGTTGGTTAGTGAATAGGCAAAAAAGCTAGTAAGTTGGGTATGTAGGGAATATCTGTATTAGGAGGCAGGGGTAGGTGTCTTTCAGCCCTAGTTGCAGTGGGACCCTGCTGAAAAATGAAATAATAAAGGGCGAGTTAGGTGGCCCAGCAGGCAAAGGCACTTGCCACATGCCTCAGTTTCCTTTCTGTTGCTGCGATAAAGCATCCTGAAAAAAGCAATTTAGGAAAGAAAAGGCTTATTTACCTCCTAGTTCCACATTATAGTCCGTCACTGAAATACAGCCATCCATCAGGAGCTGAGACAGCTGGTCACTTGGCATCTATAGTCAACACAATGGGCTAATGCACACTTGTCTTCAGTTCACTTTATCTACTGCTACACAGTTCAGGATCCCAGTTAGGGAATGGTACCACCCATAGTGGGCAGATCTTTCAACCTCAACACAATCAAGATAACCTCCCCTGAAACATGCTCACAAGTCAGCCTTCTCTAGGCAATCCTCATTGAGAGTCTTTATCAAGGTGATAGATTATGTCTATAGATTGTGTCAAGTTGACAACTAAAACTAATCACAAAACAGCACAAGCCTGGCCACCTAACTTTGATCACCAGAACCCATAGAAAGGTGTAAGGACAGAACTGATTCCACAAGGTTGTCCACACGTGCCTTGGCACACACATGTTGACACACATCATACATACACACAATACTAATTTAAACTCTTGATTCTCCTGTCTCAGCCTCCCAGGTGATGAGTGGGTTATAGGTGGAAGCCACAAAATCTAGCTCCAACCTACACTTTTTAATTTGGGGTTCCATAGCCATATAGGTAACGTGAAATCTATAAGGTATCCAGCAATGCTTTCACAGAATCGGTCCTATGGCAAGAATTCCATTTTAGTATATACCCAATTATTAAGAATTGCTTGGCAGGTGTGTGGCTTATACCTCAACACCTGGTGTGGGGGCTAAGCCAGAGATCCATATAAACTTAGGGTTAGCCTGGAAACACAGTGAGTTCCAGGCAACAATCACACACTGACACGATGTTTCAAATCAAAACCAATACCAACGATCAGTCTTTCCAAGAATGGACATTGGCATTCATGTGAGCTGAAGAACACTAAGCCTAGCATCAGAAGCCTGCCCTCAGCCTGTGCTCTGTTATTGACTGACCTCATGACCCTGGCTGTTTCTAGGCCTCATTTCCTCCTCTACAAGCTTAGACATCACTCTTTAACACTCATCTCAGCTCTGGCCATAAGTGGCAGAACACATTCACAAACCCTAGGCTATCCAAAGTATTGGCTCTGTTCTGACCTCACTCTCAGCCTTACTAAAGGTCTCCTTTTGTGTATGCAGGAAGCAGAACAGGTGTCAGCTTCCATGTGCTAGTCTGGGAATGTCTCTGAGGAGTGGATGGCCATCGCATCCACCCACTGCCTACACAGTGGAGTCTCCAGGATGCCTAACAGCACTGGCAGACTGTCTGAGTTGAGATGCACTGTGGGAACGATCTGCAAAGGGACTGAGGTGAGCTCTAAGAACCAGGGTTGACAAAAGCTAATCTTAGCAGCTATTTTCCAGATTGAGAAGTGACCTTCCTCCAGAGGCCATTGTTTCTGCCTTCCCTCCCATTGGACAACTTCAGACATGCTTTGCTACTGAGTTACTCAGATTGGTACCAGATACCAGGCAGGAGTAATGCCACCAGCAAGCCATCAGAGACAAGCTGCTTCTGCCATCAACATCAAGTACAGAAATCCAAAAATAGTTCAGTTTTCCTGTGTTGATTTTGGCCAGACATCACCCCCAGAGTGTTTCTCACTGACCAATCAGGGCTCATGGCACATTTTGAGGACAGGATGAAACAAGATCTGCTTCCTGGTGACCCGTGAGATGAGTCAGTAGGTAAAGGCGACTGCTGCTAAGCATGACAACCTGAGTTCAATCCTCAGGACAGGACATGTATGGTGGAAAGAGCAGACCAACTCATCCAAACTCTCTTGACTTCCACTTGTTCTATGGCAAACATACACACATATAAAGACAATCAATACATCTACGCTTCCTGTCTTCCCTTCTTTTCCTCCAAAAATCCAGTGGCTTCTAACCCTTCCTGCCTTAGGGTTTTACTGCTGTGAACAGACACCATGACCAAAGCAACTCTTATAAGGACAACATTTAATTGGGGCTGGCTTACAGGTTCAGTCCATCATCATCAAGGCAGGAACATAGCAGCATCCAGGCAGGCATGGTGCAGGAGGAGCTGAGAGTTCTACATCTTCATCTGAAGGCTGCTGGCAAAATACTGGCTTCCAGGTATCTAGGATGAGGGTCTTAAAGCCCACACTCAAGAGTGACACATCTACTCCAACAGGGACACACCCTCTAATAGTGCCACTCCTTGGGCTGAGCACATACAAACCATAACCCCGCCCCCCCACACACACCAGTGACTTCACAGGTTTCAACCCGAGTCAGTGGCAGCATTAACTACCCTGGGACACCCCTCCTTTAGTTCTAGTGACACGTCTCAGGTTCTCTTCCATCTGATGTTGACCTCACTCCCCTGTTGAGCCTTCCCTCTCACTAACATGAACAGAGCCACCTTGGCCTTCTGGGCCTCTGATGCTAAGTGAACCAGCTCCTCTTACCGTGTTTCTCAAAGCCAAACTCAGCCCAAATCTGAAATGCCACGAGTTGCCACTCACGAGAATTCGAATTGCTCTTTCAGCCACCATCTTTGAACTCTTATGCCTCCCAGAGAATAGGTCTACCCAAAACTCTTACTTCAGGTACATAACCTCTTCCTGTCCTCACCTCCCTGGTCCACCTCAGTCCCTTTGCTCCTTGCTCTCAAGTGAGAGAGCCAGTTCTTTTTATACCATATAGATCCCCAGGATTAAATTTACTAAAAAACAAAAAACAGTACATGGCTAGTTTAACTCAGAAAAACGCTGTCCTAGAGAAGGTCCCTTTGCAGTTTGAGATGCAAGTGGCCACACTGGCTTTTGTCATCTTTCCTCTGCCTAGCACTTGGCTCTTTCACCCGCTCTCATGCCC